GGAAGGTCCGTGTCCGGGAGGAGGCGAAGGCAATTGCGATTGATTTTAGCACGCTTAATGGTTATTGGTTTAGCTACGGCTGGATCGGGAACTGCACTCCAACTGACGATGGCTCCTCTCGTGGGTAATAATCCTCCGCTGCTGCCACACCATAAATTACAAATAATTCGATTTACACAAGATTTTCACTCTTAATGGCCGAAAATGGCCCCGGCCGTGAAAATAATGATGAAAACAAACAAAACTTAATAAGATTTTAAGCGATCTGCTGCGGGTAATTGCTCGGATGATTGAAAAATCAGGCAAATGGCGCAGGAATGGCCCGAAATGTGACCAGCGGAGTCACCTCGTTGCCACATTTGCCACATTAAGCCATTAACTTTGGCCAGCAGCAGCCTTTGCTCTCGCTCTTGTCACCCAAATGCCTGGGATGCTCGACTAAATGGCAAATTAGTGAGCCGAGCGGGCTTAAAAGGCAACTCTTTTTTTTGGAAGCACGCCCAAATATGTCAACGAAAGTGCACTGCTAGAAAAAGGGCACCATTTTATTTATAGTATTATAGTATAGTGTAGTTTTTCTTTCTGCAACCTCTCTCCAATTTCTCTCAGTGATCTGGGGCAGCTGCTGGCTGCGTCCTATTTAATTTCACATTTCACATACATATTTTTATTATGCTGTTACCGCTTGTCAGATTTTGCACCGTCGCATGCCGCGGATGCCTCGCCGGATGGCAATTTTAATTTGTGGCAAACTCGAATTATAATTCGCATTGCAACGTGGCCGTTGGCCGAGTTAATTACTGCGGCGGGCAATTATCGAAAGGCAACCGCTCCACTTATCGAGAGCCCCATCACCGGCTTTTGTTTTGATCTCCAATCGATTCTGGTTTTCCGTAGTTTTCTAGCCCCATCTGCGGCTGATCCAGCTGATTAGCCTAATCTAATCAAGCATCTTGCACGCTGCAACACCTACGACTGGAAAACAGTCGAAATCGGCCGATCAGCTCATTATCGATCCTAATGCCCGGCTGCGTGGGTTTGGGCATCCCAACCGAACCGAGCTCGGTATGCTAATGCTCTAAGCGATCCGATCTCTTACACATGTCGCTGGCCGATAAGCTAAGGAGGCGTAGATAATGCCCGACCCGAGACTTTTATGTTCATTTAATTAGCGCATTCATTCCGAGCCAACTCGATTCGACTCGAATTATGAATTCACGGCCCGCATGGGAATGGGTCAGTAGGATGTTACACATCGGGCTATATACGAGTATAGAATGTGTCATGCTCGTTAAATGGTATTCTGAAGCACCTTAAAATATGAATAAGTTCTGATATAATTAAGAAATCCATATCGGATGGCAGTGATATAATATAAAATCTCTACTTAGAACCTATAAGTTTTCTGCTCGTATTTCCTAGGAATCCTCGGCTCAACATCCATCTTGAAAGAAATCCCCTGAATCGCCTTGCGTGCGCGGTGTGCCCCGCGAAGTGTCTCGTGCTAAGTGTTGCTGCTTCTGCTGCTGCCGTTCGGCTACCAATTGCATCGTGCCCCTCCCGGAGTCGCGGATCGAGTGGCAGCCATGCCAAGTGGCGGAGATCCAGGCAGCCACACATCCGTGCTACATACGAGTACACCCATGCGCTGATGCAGGCAACTCCCCGAAGACTTCGATAAGGATCAATGTTTAGCTGGGCTACGTTTTAATATTGTCTCGGCCGGCACACGTTGCCATGAATTGGGGCGGGTCTTCGAAGTCCGAAGAGGGTTCTTGCCAAGCAGAAATGGGGTTTTCAGGTCCCCAAGCTGCGCTCCTCACTTACAGCAACTTTGGGATTCCATCTCTGTTCCACCTTCTTGTAAGTTCACTTTGTGCTCGTATCGCACTCGTGGTGAGTCATCATTTGTGTGGATAATGTCCACTTTATATAGCTCCACCGATGCCCCCCACCCCACTCCCTTCTCCACCTACATTCCCGCGGAGTGTCTCCTCTGGTGTTTCGTTTTCTTTTGGGTGGCTCCGAGTGCCTTGACTTTTGCTTGTCAATGCGCGACGTCTTTGATAACTAATTGCCACGGCGCCAAATGATTCCCATTTCGTCTTCTTTTTCGGGGCTCTTCTGTGGGTTCCGTGTCGCTTTCGAGAAGTATAATAAAAGTCACGTCGTTACCGTTTTGTCGGCGCTTATAAGGCTCCGAGTGCCCTAATGATTTATATTCAAAATTGTAGCACAACGAAGGAGACTCGACATGCAACAGCTCGAGAAGGAAGAGAGTGAGCAATTATGCCAACAAGTTAATTAGAATCGAACAGTCCAAAGAACATTCGACATGCTCCGATTGGACTGCCGCTGGAACAGTTTGCTTCCTAAGCCTCCCTTTCAGTCCACCGATCTGCCAGTTGAGCTCCCGGAGACGGAGTTAACTTAATTTATGCAGCAGTCCAAACAACTGCGAAACACTGAATACTTTCAGCAAAGCCATAAACAAGGGAAAGGAAGTTTACACAAGGAATATCGGAAAGAGGAAGGTTCCTCTGACCTCCTAAACGAAATGTAGTTTTTTTTTAAACATTTGGATTGAGAAAAAAATCAATAAAACTATCGTATAAATTATACGATAATATTATAATGGTACGCGAGTCTGTCATTCCACATTTCGACGAGGTGATTTCAAATCTAATCTGATAAATATGCCCAAGAAATCGGTGAGATTATCTCATCGCTGATCCCACTACATCTGCTCTACGAATTTATGCATATGTAACTGGATTTCGGGTTTCATTCACATGCGAACCGTTTGTGTGACCGCCCTTTTCCCCTTCCCCTTTCCCTTTCCCTTCATCCTCAAATCCAGCAGAAAGTTTGTTGCCTAAGTCTTTTGTTTGTCTCAATGAATTTATAATTTCTCGATCGATTCCCACCGCACGGAATTGCCATAACCCAAGCCAATGTTAGGCCGTGATTTTATAGCCAATTTCGAGAGTATTTATAAATATGTTTATCCATTTTTCAGGGCCAATCGGATCTGTATCCAGCATAAATTGAATTAAGATTTCTGCGAATTTTCATTAGTACCTTACTGTTTCTGCGGTTGCAGCTCGCGAAAAATTGCAAACATTTTCATTTTCCATTTTCATTTCGTTTTTTTTGCTGCCAAGTTTAATCAAAGTGGCGCTAATTAGTTTGAGTCGTTTGGATAATTGCAAATTAAACGCAAACTTAATTGCGCCGACACACGAAACACACACACACATATACACACACATCTGCAGCGCGGCAATTACCCAGCAGATACAATAAGACAAGTGAAACCTAAAAAACTAAAGCTGCATTTTGTCTCGGAAGGCAACAAAATAATATATGGAGAAAGAAGGAAAACGAGCAGGAAAAAATGCCCTGGTTGTATTTCGTTGTTGTTGCTGCTCACTCGCGGCTCGTGGAATCGACAATTAAGTTGAAGATAAATTGAATTAAAGTAAAACAAAAACCACTTTAATCGAATGTTTCTGTGCAAATTTGCTAACAAAATAATTGCAGCTGCTAAAATAGAAAAAAGGGATGTTAGACAAATAGCTGGCGTGCACAAAACGTAATGTATAGCTACACATTATTATTAGTTTAATTAGGGATGAAGGAATAAAATAAGTGTATGCCAGCCAGTAATAAATATTAATACAAAATAATCATTGTGTGTTTTGCTTAATAATTGTTTTGATTATTCGTTAGTTCACCATAACATATTCGCTCCTGTAATTTAATCGTTAAATAAGAAAGAAAACACGTAATAGAATCTCAAATCGAAGCGGTAGTAATTAAAATGCAGTCTCTTAATGTCAGCGTTAATTAGTCGGCTTAATTAATGATTATTAATATGGCTGTTGAACCTCCACCTCCCCCTCCGCTCAACCTACATGTTCTTCCCTCCCCTGCTTGATTATTATGCAAATTAATTGTTTGGATCTCGCTCTTGGGTTCTCGTTCGCATTCTGCATTTGACGAACTCATTGAGATGCATGAAATGTTGCCGGCCTCGCAAGGAGATAAAAGTATGGTGCAGGCCCGTCGGTTAAACATGATTATCACAGTTCCACCTCATCGCAATTACCAGGCCATTCGAGGAGGAGTCCGCCTTACCTTACCTTACCTTCTTTCTTTCTTTCTTTTTTGCCTCGACTTGGGCTTGGGCCAAAAACAAAAAATGAGCGGCTGACCGAAAAATCTGGTAATCGAATTAGGCAACTTCGTGTTTTATAAATGTTATCATAAATATTCCATTTTATTAATTACCGCGCATAATTCACCAGCAGAGCGGAGAGACTGAAGAGACTGCGACTTAGTTCGCGGCCGCCTCTCTCTTCGAATGTCTGACGTCTCCGATCGGCGCGTCTCATTAACATACTTAATTTGTTTCTAATTTATTCATAAATTTATATTTGTGACACCCTCCCCCAGAAGAGACTCCCTCGTTTTTGTTTTTGATCATGCCAGCTCCTGCCCCTTCACCTGCTGATTTATGGGAAGACCACTGATTAATGGCAGCTCCGAATCCGAGTTGGACTCACACTCGCACCCGCCGAACTCCCGAGATCTGGTCGGACTGGCTGTGAATCAGTTTCGGGGTTCGCCTACTCCCCCTCCCCCTCCCTCTCCCTTTGAGTAGGTGTTGTTACGCACATTATGGAGGGGCTTTTGTCCATTAGGCCCGGCTTATGGTTAATTTGTGGGAATTACCGAAGAAACACAAAGAGATGATGAAGAGCTAGGTGCTGCTACTCCCATTCCAAGTGTGGGGTATACACCTAATGTGGGATATGCTATACGGTTCTTAGAGATTTATATACTACTTAAAGTTTCCAACTTATGGATTCCTCTGCATTGATCATTGAATTTTATGGGACTTTACAGTTGGATAATCCCTTCCCTGCTTATACCTCACTATATAGTATATCCCCTTTCCAAACATTTGTATCTTATTGGTAATTATATTTATTTAACTTGCTGAACTTCCGTGTCAAGTACATACAATCGAATAACTTATTGGCTTAAGACTACGGTGAACGGGCAATGTGTTTGCACTTGGGCTTGGGATGTCCCTCCTGACCAGCGGGTCCTCGGAGCTCCGCTCCTCCAGCTAGCTGACCACGTCGTTGCCATGGCCGTTCTGGCGCAGCAGCTCCAGCTTGAGCTCGTGCTCCCGGGCCTTCAGACGCAGCGCGGCAATGGAGGAGGTGCGTCGGTCCTCGGGGGGCGTGGCAGCTCTGGGGGGCGGAGGAGGGGGCTGGTGCGAGGGCGGTGGGGGAGGCAGCTGACGCTGGGGGAGTGCGCCAGGGTCAGGGCCACCGGGGAGGTCTGGGTGGGCGAGAGGCACGGCGCCTGGTGCGTCAGGGCGATCCCCACCAGCTGCTGCGGCGAGAGCTGGGCGGGCTGCACTCCGACCGGGAGCTGCGGAGGCGCCTGGGGCGGCGGATGGGCGGCCGGGTGCTGCTGGTGCTGGGAGGCGTGGCCGGAGGCGGGCGAGGTGGGCGGCGAGGCGATCAGGTGGTTGGGCGAATGCAGATCGGGCGATCCCACCAGCAGGGAGGAGGGTTTCCCGAGCGGCGGACCCCGCGGCACCGCCGTCATGTTGGCCAGCAGCGATTGGAAGGAGCTCGAGGGGGAGTACATGCCCGCCATTCCATGGGGCAGCATGTGGGGAGGAGCTCTGCAAGAAGAATAGATTGGAAATGCGTAAATAGTAGAGATAAAGATAATAATAGAGAAATGATCGAGTACAATATCATTCTATTATGATAAATATAAATCTATTTATCTTTTAGAGATATTAAAGATTATTTTTCAGATGTCCATCAAGTAAATACAAATATTGATAGGGTTTTGAAACCACTCACCTCTGGAACTGGTTGAAGTAGCCCGACGGGATCATGGGGGCGGCCGAGAGGTGCGGGTAGCGGAAGGCGGCCAGGTTGGCGGCGTGTTGGGCGTCGAAGGGCTTGCGCAGCTGGAAGCCGAGGTGGGTGAAGGGGTTGGGCGGCAGGGCGGCCCCCACCACGGTCTGCATGGTGGCGGCGCCGCTGGGCAGGTAGGGATTATACGGATGCGACTGGGGGCCGACCTTCTCCTGCTTGCGCCACTTGGCGCGCCGATTCTGGAACCAGACCTGGAATGAGAATGAGAGGATATAGGATGCGGATCGTGAGTTATGTGCTGCTGGCAGGCTACTGTATCTGCACCCGATCCCTGCTCCGTGCTCCCTGCTCCACTGGACGGAGTATCCAATTAATGGGCGTTGTTATTGAAAACGCCCCTTTAATTAGTTTTTAACATAACAATCTGAATACGGAGACGCCGTCCTCTGATTGCACTCGGAATAGGAGCCGGAAAAGCAGGGCCAGTCGAAATCCCAGTCGGATGCAGGCAAATAATGTTGTTTAGCATGAGCAGTAATTAAAAAGAAGCGGCGACTTCCCGGCCATAAACTGACCGCGCATGTAATGACTGGCACTAAAGCAGAATTAAATGAATTTCTCCAACTCCGACTCCGACTCCGTTGGCGCTGCCTGGCCGTCTAGTCCGTCTCGATTTCATTAGTAGCGACATGCTCCATTATTTTTCAATTTTCAACATTGTTGGCTGCACGTGGGCCACGCGAATTAACCGCAAATCTGCGCAGCTTCGAGCCCCCAATTCTCCCCGCGGTAGATGCTCCAGCTGCAGCTTACCTGAATGCGCGCCTCGGTTAATCCAATTTTCATCGCCAGCTCCTCTCTGCAAGAAGACAAGACAAGAGGAGAAACCTCGGTTAGCTCGGAAAAACAGCGATGATTAAGGGCAGGTAATCAATTGAAATGGCCGGACATCAACAGCCTTTCTATCAACGAAGCCTCAACATATCAACCATTTTCGGCAAGCTAAACATTTTTAATTCTACTCTATAAGTGTTTAATCATATCGTTGACCCAAGCTAACCTTCTCATTTCAGCCACTTAGAAGCTAATTGAGGCTTATACAGAATCACAGGTGATTTGATTTATTTGCTTAATTAATTGCTGAGCATTTAAATGAACCCGCAGCCTAATGAATTGAAAACTGCCAGCGATACGGCAAAAAGTTGATCTAATTGTGGCTGCGATTGACTTTGCCTGCGAGCGCACTTTTTGTTTCGGTTTGTTTGGGCCCGAGCTCCGTGCGGTCTCAATTAGCGCTCACTTTGGCTCAGAAGTGACTGACTTTTAATTTATGGCAATTACCGCGGCTGTCTTTCGACCACATTGCTGCATGCTAATTGCGCTCGTTAGAGTTTCTTAGGGCGCGATCCATGTGTTGCTCCAGCTTTCCCGGGAGGGGATCTCGTGAAGAGCTGCCCCGAATGAGATCGATCGATCCACTCAGGGGGTCGCCTCGTAATGGGCATTGTTATTATCACCTGACTGGCCGCTTCCCATATTCGTATCGTAAAGCCGGGAATCAGCTTTCGAGCCTTTGTCGCGCCTCGATGAGCGATTTATGCAAATTTGCCTCTTCTGGGCCACTCATTCTCAACTCAACTCGGTCCAACTCAGTCCCTTATCGCAGCTCGTCATATGTTACTCACCTCGTAAACACGTCGGGATAATGGGTCCGCGAGAAGGCCTTCTCCAGCTCCTCCAGCTGAAAGCTGGTGAAGGTTGTGCGATAGCGCCGCTGCTTCCGCTTCGGGGCGTACTCGTCCGCCTCGCAGTCGCTGTTCCCCTCCGAGATGGGGCTGTTCGTCCCCCCGCTGGCTCCACTCGCTCCACCTGGTCCACTGGGCGCTCCGCCGGAGGCCGACATCGAAACCGCCAGCGAGGCGCCCGCGGAGGCGGCCGAGGAGCCGGGGGCGCGGTCCACCAGCACTACGGCATCCGGGTGCGCCAGCTTGGCTTCTTGCGGTAGTTCCTCCAGCTTGATCTCCTCCGATATGCCCATAATCCAGGATCCGGGAGGCGATCTGGTCAGTGCTCGAGGGCAGCGGCTGCGCAGGGAGAAAAGATTGATTGAGATTGAGATTGAGACTGTCTTAGTTCTTCATAAATATTCACAGCCAAATAACTTAATTTCTTAACTGATTGTATATATATAGTATAAAGAATTTAAATCGTGTTTATTAAGTTGTCTCTCTTTCTATTTCTCTGTGTGTGGAAAGGGGAAGGGATGTCTAGTTAGTCGCGCATTAGAAGCTCGTAATTCAATAAACGCTAAACGTGCAATTATCGTGCACTTTATTATGCCAATTTCCGTAATTTGCCATCTAGCCATGACCAAGTCATCGTTTGGGTCGGGACCCGCCGCTCGAGGTTGGCTGCGGTTACACTGGCCAGCAGGGTTGGGCGAAGGGTCCAGGGAGTGCCACAGTTTGCGGCGAGGGAGTGGTCAAGTGACCCTACGAAAGGTCAATGTAAAATAGACTGTCTCTCCTGTTGAACATTAAGTTCTGATTGTAATTTTATTACTTTTACAATTATTTATAGGTAAACAAAAAAATAGTAAAACAGTAAATAGTAAAACAGTAAATAGTAAAACAGTAAATGTACGAATAAGAGAAATTTATTCGAGGTTGAGCGGAAGCAGCGCATCTGAAGGAGAGAACCATTTACTTTTATCTTCCCAACTTTTTCTATTACCAACATAAAATATTGCTTTTCTATTTTCTATTTCAGGAGCTCCGAGGGCCTAAGTTTTAGTGCCGAACTTCTGTTAGCCAAGTGCCAGTTAGTTAGGAGCCGGCCTCCTCTGCGGTCTGGAAGCGTGCCCCATGGTCATGGCTGCCACTTACTGGCAGATTCATCTGCGGACTGCCGCGGCTGCAGCTGCTGACGAACTCGCCCCAATGCAAATCGATGACCGCGGCGGGGGGCTGTCCGTCTGTCCGTCTGTCGGTCAGCTGATCTCCTCCATCAACACGTCTTTCATCGGGCGCTGAGTTGGGTTGGCTCTTGGCTCTTGGCTCTCGGCTCCATGTGCAGATCGTTTGGAATTTTAATTAAATTGGGCGGCAACTTCATTTTCATCATCATCAACTCCGCGGCTGCGCAGGCAGTTGCGGCAGTTGAGACCCGCGTCCGAGGCTTCTATCAGATCAAATTAATATCAGGTGCCGGTCGGCCCGGCGTGGCTTTCCCTCTGGAAAGCAACTGCAGCCGAAGTTCGGCGGTGGTAATTCCATGTTTGCTAATTAATATACGACTTCCCCTAATGACAACCCAATGGTCTGGGTCGGCGTGTAACCTTCGCTGAACTGCAGAAGTCAGGGCCGCCTTGGTTGGGTCCCCTAACCATGCCCAAAACTCGGATTGATTGATGGCCGCCGCTTCTGTTGACATCCCTACATATATCAAAATTGTCCAAATACCATGTTAAATGGCAAATTAGTGTGGCGGTGATTGATTTAGTTGCATTCTTGCGCGGAATGAAGTTGCAACCGGCCGACAATCGAAGACGGACGATAGTAAGAAAATGTACACTTCAAAATGTCGGTGGTGAAATCTTCATAAATCGTTTTGAATATTTCAGTTAAAATAACAGGGGATATTCTATTCTATTCTATGAAGCCCCTTGGGTAGGTGGTTCTTATAGTTTTTAATAATTGGTTTTTTCTTCAATAACTTTTTTCGAGTGCACACCAACTGGTTCATGGGGCTGGCCAATGTCAGCCAGGTTCGGCTTGAGTGGCATCTTTCTTCACCTCGCCGGAGCATTCCGCATGAATCTTTCGCGGCCGTAAACCCCAGTTCATAACTCATTTCTGGGCTCGATCATAACTCCTGTTATGAGTTGGGCTGTCAGCCTCCAATGTTGTCAACGAATTCCGCGCATTGACAGCTGACAAACTTAATTTGCGGACCGCAAATTATTAAATTAGTTGTGCGAATTGCAATTATGCCGGCGCAGTTCCCCTCGAGTTCATTACAAGACCCGCACTGATTAATTCATCGCATGCGAATCCGAATCCGAATGCGAATGCGAATCCGAGTGAGACTGCCAACAAGAGCCGTAGAGCAGTTTGGAGCTATGTGGGGAATGTGTGCCGATGGCTTTGTTGTGGAGCCGCCTTATAATTGTATCCGCGTTACGACTTTATTATGGCCCAGGCAATCGGGCCTGAGGAGTCCGAGGAGTCGGAATCCTCCGCTGATTGACGTTTCGTTGGGTAATTAAAAGGCAGAGACTTCGCTGGAAACTGTCAAGTTTTGACGTCTGCCTACCGATTTGGCCCGGTCGCACTGGCATGGCTTCATTTAGTTTTTAGTTTTTAGTCTCTGGTCGCTGGCTACTGCTGGCCAACTACTAATCAAGTTAGCGCTGCACTTGCTCTGCCCAAATCCAGATAGACGCACTCCAGGAAGCCTGCGATTTGAATGCCTGGGCGTGGATGGGGCGATGGGCGATGGGCGATGGACCGTTGGCGGGGGCGATTTCGTGGCTAGCATTTTGACACAACCGCTCGGCGTCTTGGCCCTCTTAGTCCCTCCATGCTAATCAGGCCAAGCGCCAGTGTCCAACCTCCCCAGACTGAGTCCCATTTTGAGTCTCAGCCAAAGTCTGGCTCTTGAGCCGCAGTCTCAGTTGAGTCCGAGTCCGAGTCTGGCAACTTGTTTGCGGTTGCTTGTTCCGTTTAGAGATAAGCTCCATTAGTGTCTGGGGAAATATTTAAGAGCAACATTGTAGGTTGTGTGGGTTTCCTAGCCCAGCCCAGTCATAAAGGCACCGGGAGAAAGGCTATAGTTGATATTCTAAATATTATATATAGATCGTAAAATAAGGGTTAATAATCCATTCAAGGGAATAGATCTCAGACGTGTTAGAGAAATGTATTTTGAAATAATTGAATGGTATTGTAGTATTGAATTTTATGGGTTATATCTTGTGATTAAAATAAATAATTTAGTTAGGGACTATAAACCAGTAGATTGAGCTTAAAGACCTAACTTTCTCCCAGTGCAGACATATTGAAAATGAAGAAATTAATTCGTAATGCAAAACAAGTGTACTTCGGTACTTCTATTCGGTTGTCCGTTGTCCGTTTTGCCCACTGTCCGTTGTCCGTTGTCCGTCGTCCGTTGTCGTCACTTCTGTCATCTCGATAAGCATCAATGTTTCTGCCTTGGCTGGCTGCTCTTGCCACAACTCAACCCAACTCGGCCCGGCTCTTCGCCGCAGAAGACTTGTCTTCAGTCTTCAGCTGGCTCCTTCATGTTTGGTGTCGTTTTTATGGTTGCACTTTTGTGTTTTTAGCTCCTCCAGCTCCCGATCTTTCCGATCCGATCCTCCGTCCTCCATCCTCCATCCTCTATCCTCCATCCTTGGTTCTCGGTGTCTGGGGACGGTTGTGCTGGCATATTTCATTAAAAGCCGGGCCGGAGGGACGGCATCAGGTAGAACAGCAAACAGAAGCTCTTTTCTGGCATTTTGTTAATGCGTCTCCGTCTCGGGTCTCCAGTCCCCAGTCTCCAGTTTCCAGTCTTCAGCTCTCGGTGCTCGGTTCTCGGTTCTCAGTCTTCGGACTCCAGTTCTCAGTCTGGTTGCTCAGTATCTGGGCTGCTTATTTATGGGTTTACATTAGGCTAAACCACTTTAGTCACACTTTGATGATCGGCATTGTAATTTCGCCCCCGGTCCTCGATAATGGCAAGCATTTTGGGTGGCTTAACTTTTGGCCCGGGCGAAAGCTCACTGGCTGGCTGTCCCCGATATTTGTGTCAGTGTGTGGTCGCCTGATCGGTTGATGGATTGGCCCGAGACGCTCTGGCTCGACACCGGCTTAATAGTCCCGGTTCGATAAGGTCAATTATTAATTTGTGAGTCACCCAAAAATCCATAAAAGCGATAGCCCAAGCAGCTGAGAGCGGAGTCGAAGTGTTTATCCCATTTCGAGCTGCACCTGAGCCCTGCGTTGAATGCATTTCGGTTGGTGGTTCATTCGGTTTGTTCGCTCGGTTTGTTCGCCTCCAGTTGTTCGGTTGTTTGTTTCTTGGCGCCGTCTTTGGACCAGGTGCGATAAGGCAGCATTCTTGTTGTTGGCCAGGCGCCGGCTCCTCGCCTCCGACCCTCTCGTCCAGGGGTCTTCGCCGGAGACCTCTAATGCACACTCTCCCAATTATAATTAGTTTATTCATATCCTGTGTCGAAGCTGCTGCCTCATTTGTTGTTCTCCTGCAATCTTAATTCAATTTACTGCCTATCAGTCGGGGTCGCAACGAATCGGGGAGTACCCTTCATACCGAAAGGCAAATCCAATGGGTACCAATATTCCACAATAATATTTTGCAATTAAATAGTATTATATCATAAGAGAATATTAATTTGCAGAGTAAGACCTTGTGGATCACAACATTATTACCGTTTTATGAAGAATATCCCTCATTTAATCTGGATCACCTATCGATTTGGTGTTTTACCACCTGCGAAAACCAACTTCCCCCAGGACGTTGTAATAAAATTTTATTAGCTTGGCGCACAAATTGATTTCGGGGGTTCAAGGGCATCTGGGCTTCGGTCCCAGGTAGCAAGTGCTCACCTGGGGCCACCCTAATGGAGCAGATTGCCGGACGGTAGCCCGAGGTAGTCGCAGGTTCAACTTGTGACTCAGAGTCTCAGTCGGAGACGAAGTCAGGGAGTCAGGGAGTCAGGGCTCAGGACCGAGGGCCCAGACAGAAGAGCGAGATGCTGTTGATGGCGAATGGGAATGCGAATGCGAATGGCGGTGCTGTAGCTACAAGCTTAGCCCATGTTGCTGATGTTGGATGTTGATGCGGGGCCAATTACTCATAAAATGCATGTTAAGAACGGCAGTCGGAGTGGCGAGTGGAGGGGTCTGATCGGGATCGGGAGGATCGGGATGGGAATTGGACAACTGTTGCCCGACGCCATCTCCATCGCCGTCTGCTCCACGCTGCCCTTTGTCATTGTCTTGTGCGGTTTGATAAGCGAATCCGAGGCAGACGGTGGGCAATTTGGGGCCGACGACGTTGATTCTCGTGTTTGCATGTTCCATTTAGCGAGGGGCTTTGCCCGGGTTGGGGAACTAATGAAGCACATCTCGATGGGGCCTGGCGCCATCTTCCGCCGGAGGAGACTCTTCTCCGGCGGTGCCTCTCCGTCAGGCATTAACCGGGAATCAGGAATCAACTCGGAAGACAGCGCCCAAATTGGGAGCTGTCAAGCGATCGAATCGAATCAAATCAGAGTTCGTGTTCAGATAGCATAGCTGCCAAAAACTCGGTTGTATATCTAGAGATACCGATACCGAAACAGTATCTGGAGCATCGGCAACAAGTCTTAATTGTATGTTGGCGTAATTGAATTGAAACTCTCGGAGGCGCTGGAGAACATATTTTAATTTCGGGCAGCCCCGAAGAGCGGGCCAATCTTATCGGATCTCCCGGCATTATCTATTGGGCAAGATGCTCCCCGGAGATACAGATACCCTGCGAGCTATTTGCGTCACGAATTCGTTTAGGTTTGTGCTGACAAGTCACATGCGTTATGATTATTAATTAAATCAGTCCGCGGAGTGCCCGATTATCGCCGGGAAGGGAGAACTTCGGAACTCTGGGGTGGGTTCCCGGGCTTCTTGGGGTTTATCTAGGCCCCAATATCTGTCTTTATGTGAGTTGTTTTCACTATGAGCTCGAGGCTCTCGTCCACGTCAAAAAGTGAAGTGGTCAGGCCTTTTGACACGATTATCGGCGGGTGATAGCCGCGGCCAGTTAATTTCATTTACTCTGTAGGTACAATTAGGTACAAGCAGAAGACTCTGCCCCCCGAAAATCGGAAAACATCAGCTAGACCAGACGTGATTTATTGGCACTGACTGCGCCGCTGACAATTTGTACTCCTTAATGGTGTTTAATTAAACCCAATCAGCGATAAGCCCATCGAATATCAGCATGAGGCACCCGAAGGTGAGTTAATCAAATTCTTATTCTACAGCGATGATGCGATTAGGGCTGATATTTGTCTGATTCGGAATGTCCAGGTGGGAAATTAATCAAATTTAATGATATTTAATTTTGGGTTTACCCTTTGTTTTCCCCTCTTCAGCTGATTGGGGCGATTAGACAGGGGAATTATGAAATATACGGACGGGTAATACTTGTAATATTTGTCAATCATGCTGAGAAGTGGGTTATACGCAAGGTGTAATATCAGATTGGTTTTCTATCCGCCCCCAAAGAAGTGCTAAATGGGTCAGTTCTATTGCTCAGTCAAGAAACGACAGATAACAATACAAGCCAAGAATGTTGTTGCGTTGCTTTAGATTTTTACAAAATAAATATGTCTTAATCTTATTTTAACAATATCAGTATAGAGTAATCAGAGTAAGAGAACTAATAACGTATTTCTTCCGAATTAATACCCAACAACCCATATTATTTAAGTGGTCAGTAAACTCACCTTCTCGCTCTCAGTTATCTGTGGATCTATCTGTAAATACTGTAGACGTTGTTCTCGGCGATCTCTTCAGAATCGGTTTTATCTTGTGTTTTTCTTCGTTTGGCTGTCTCTATTCCCATTGGCCTTATCAGCCTGCTTGTTTTCACACCAACCGGAACACTTGCCGACGGTCTTTCGCCCACTCCGTCGCTCGGCCAGAAGTCGGAGGTCTAAACTTCCACTCGGAAGGAGAATGGTATGGGGAATACCTTGGGAACTATCTTCCGCGGCAGCCGACACTTTTCGAAAACTTCACACACTCTTTTTGCTCGAACAACGAGATATGTTTTCGGGCGCAAACGAATCGAATCGAAGGGAATCGAGTGGAATCGAGTGGAATCGAGTCGGAACCGAACGCGACGATGATGACCGGGCCGTTGCAGAGCCGCCAGCAGACTACGCCGGTGGAAACTCAGGTGGGTCTGGCGAGGTCTTGGCCCAGGCGAGCGAACGACAACCGGTTGGAGTTGTTGTTCCGGTGCCGCAGAGCGAGAGCGGTTCCCCTGCCGCAGAGCGAGAGGGAGCGAGAGGGAGCGATGCGATCGGAGCGTGTCGATCGATCGCCGCAGGTGTCGCAGGCGCGCCGGCAGGTGAGCGGGCAGCGGACTCCGCCCCTTTCGGGCTCTCCGCCTATCGGAGGCCGCCGCTTAACGGAGCACAGTAATGGCGGAGCCGCTCGCTTGCCCTCTCTCTCGCTCTCCCGCGATTGGGGCGTAATTGAATAAGCCCCGCACAAAGTGCAATAAATTTGATTAGCAAAATGGAAATTTATTTGGCCCCCAGCTCGACGCGTTTCCTCCGGTTGCCATAGATGCGTTTGCCTTTGCTTTGCTTTTGCTTTTGCCAGTTGTTGCGGCTCATAAATTAAATAATTTAGCCAAGACATATGGGTAAAAGAGTTGCGTGGAGTGGGAACAAGAATGGGAATGGAAATGGACTCGGATGGGGAGGGGATTTAGACCCGGCCATATAGACCGTTTTGGTAGTGTTAAGGGCCTCGTTAATGACTTTGTTGGCTTTATTGGATGATTGCCGGAATCGGACGCAGACTGTGGACTGCGGACTGTCTTGTTTGGCTTTCGGAGACGGGGTGTCAAGTAGGGAAATGCAATGACCCATGGAAAGGGTTAAAGAAAGAGAGAGAGCCGGGCAGATGACCCTACTTAAATTTGGAGGGGAAGACTGCCAAGAAAAAGGTTGTGAGTTTGTATATTGCATATTTTACAACTATATTCCGATAGTCAAATAAATAGTTAGTGATAGTTTCTAGTTCTAGGCCAGAAGTTCTTTACAAGATCCTTTCAGTTAAAGCTTCTACAGCTAATTCTTCAGCAATCCTCTTAATTCATTGTAATTTAACGTAATTAATCCAATGAAACTGTTTCCCACTCAAGCTGAAAAGAGTAAATCCTGGTCTTGCCAATTCTGAGCGGACTGGCAGATTCCATTCCCTGATAACCACTTCATTAGGCCTGATATAAGCGGGCCTTATACATCGACAGCTCCATTCCAGCGACATTTTGCACTGGAAGCCGGCCCCCGCCCCAAGCCCCCATCTGCTGCCCAATTTGCTCGTATCGCAGGGCAATAAATAAAGTGTTAATGGCAATTGCATACAAATAGTTTGGTGTTGCCATTATATTGCCATATTATCCCATTGTCGGGCCTTAACAAGAAGTAAACAATGCGACGCTCTCCGCCGAGTTCCATTCGAGATCGGCTTCGGAATAGGGATCGCAATCGGAGTCGCAGTTGGAGTTGGAGTTGGAGTTGAAGTCGCTGCACTGCAGCCAATTTCACGCTTCATTTACAGGCGAAATGCAAACAAAAGACCGGCGACCGTCGAGGAGTGACCATTTGGCCGACGGGTTCAATGGACAGCAAACTCAGGCCGGGATCGGGACCACTGAGTACTAGCACGGTATCTCTCGTCCCCATGTGGCCGTGTCAATCAGCTCGTCGCGCAAGGTGTGCACTTGTTATACCCAGTGCCTCGAAAATGCGAGGGTATATTGCATTTAGGCCAGGAAGGGCAGCTGGTTCCCTCAGTCTGCTCAGGACAAGGGAGGAAGACTTCTTAAAAAGCCCTCAAAACAAAGGAGAGATTTTAAACACTGTTTTAAAAGAGAAATTCCAATTAAAATATATTTTTATTTTCAAAAAGAGTCTGTATTTTTAAAGAGTACTTAACTTATAAGCAAAATTGATTTTAAGGTAAATACCCAAGGTAGTTTACAGTCGAAAAACAAGGCAGTCTGCATTCTTCCCCGTTTTGGACTCGATTCGGGTCCACTCTAGGCTGACTTTAGTCCAGCTCCGACCGCTCCACGGCGGGAAAGAGACGGAGGCCCAAAGCGAGAGAGTCGCGCATGCGCGCACGTCCTAATGTAATTATTATCTCAACAATTGAATTTCCGGTCCCGACTTCGACTCCGACTCCGAGCCGTGGGTCTGCATCACTCCTGCACATGGGACAGATGTCGCGCAAAACGTTACAAATGTGCACTTAATTGCGCAATTAAATAATTTTATTTCTGCTCCGCGTTTTTCTTCTGCTTTTTCTCTTGCCTTTTCTTTTCGCTCGATGTTTTCCTTCGGCCGATAGCAAACAAATTGCTGCCAAGTGGCCAAGACTGCCTGGCCGTTCCTATCGCCTGTCCGAGGTGTCTTATTCATTATGGCCATTATGCAGCTTAGATAGAAGCATTTACCAGTTGCCATTCGCTATTCGCCAGCTGGACGAAGGAATTCTATCCGAGGGCCTTCCATTAGGCTCCCAAGATTGTATCCCTAAAAATTCAGATTATGGCTTAAAGCTTTGCCTCAATAATTACCGATCCTGCCTGTCTTGGCCAACTTTCCATTCACACCCCTCTCCCCATGCAAAGTATGAGCAATTAGTGGCATTATTGTTTACGGAATTTACCCCAAAAAAGTTACCCAATTACAGCCATTATTTCGACATAGATTTCCCCGTAGCCCACCGAAGCCTCAAGTCGGTGAAAATGGTGTAGCCAACGAAAGGCAACTGTAAACGATACCAAATTATATTTAATTACGTGCGATTAGTTAGGGTTACTGGAGTCGCGCGATGAAATGCCGGCGATAAGGCCCGCCCGTCACCCGGCGCATAAATAGTACGCCCAACTACACAACTACCCAACTACCCAGCTACACAACTACCCAGCTACTCAAATACCAACTATTCGGATCCCAGATCCCAGGCCACGGCATTAATTCAATTACAAATGGCTGCGGCTCACTCAGCGTGTGACATAATCACCCAACAAAACTGTCGCTGATGGCAGCTATGCGAACACAACTCCCATTCGGTGGCCGAGTACCAGGTATACCTGGTATAGTATAGCCGGTATTTCGAGGCATTTCCTTGGCCCTCCCCCAGATCATTATTTGGTAATTTGATACGACGATTTGTCTTGCTTTCGTTGCCTTCGGCGACACTGCATTTTCACTCGATTGTCGTGTAGGCCCGAAATTGACTTGGGCGGAAGCGCGTTATTAACTGGTTTATGCAACCCAAAATCGCCAGATTTCCAGCCCGCGATAAGGCTCCTCTGCTTGGCTGATTATGTATGTACACGTACACGTACAGGTACACATTCCTGGCCAATAAGCAGGCAGCAATTGAAACGAAAGCGAAGTAATTTCATTTGTTCGTAAATCTAATTGTGGAAACTCTCTCATGGCCTCCAGTTTTCCCCCAACCCCCCTCTCTCTTGCAAAATAAAAATGTGAAATGCTTTGGTAATTAGTGCGTGTACCGACTGTGGTCTTAATTGCCCCCTTAGCCCCCCACCCCCTTGGAATCCAGCCATGGATTTCGTTTTATTTCGACCGTTTTGCTGAATTTGGCAAAACAAAAAATGCATGTTTCGGATAATTCGAGTTTAATGCGCATCAATTAAAATTATTAAAATTTATCTTTATATTGTTTCGCTGGAATTAAATATAATTACAATTTTGCAGACCAATTGAAGTAGAAATTTTGGGAATCCATGTGGAATAAAATGCCGTATAAAATTCGTAATTATTTGCCGATGGTTAATTAAACATACTTGAAATGTTTAATCGGTTGTACATTGGGAATATGAAGATGTGGACCCTAAAGCTTAAAAAGATAAAGTATTTACTAGTAAATAAATAGATTATAATACTGATGAGTGACCACCAGAGGTGACCTTAATCGAAGGAATGTGACCCTGATCGAAATAAAGTCATCGCTTGTCCGTAATCGTCTCCTTATCTACCAAATAAATGGATTTCCCGACGAGTTACTATAACTTTACTTTTTACCAGTGGCAGCTGTCGATATCCAGCCTTTTGGGATCAGAGTCCTCGCTTATCCCTTCTACCATCCTTCTCCTTATCCTTCATTTTCTTCCTCTTCTCCTTCCCCACACCGCTGCGATCATCGCATTAGTTGTGTTTTATATAATTGATTAATTAGAGGCCGGCTTCTGGTGGATCGAACTCGGGAACGGGAACCGAAGAAGCCTTCTGCTCCGTTCGGGGATCGTTAGAATTATAATTGCTCCGCGGCCATATACCAAAAGATAGGAGATATATGGACGTGCGGTCCCTAATGCTAATATCCTGTGTGCTATTGTGTTGTTGCCTGTCGGCAATTTGTTTGTTCTTCGGCAGCCCAAATTGATTTTATTGACTTGTAAATGATGTTGAGTGCCGCTGCCCCCTCCCTCTTCCCTCTTCCCCTTTCGACTGGCTTCCGTATGGGGGTTACGCCCCTTTTGGGTGTGCGTTGTGGCTCGTTAATCTAGGAGTGTTTGCCTGGTGCTGGCTCCTTTTCCACTGCTGCGCTCCTCCGCTTCCCAATCGATGGCCAGTTTGCATATTTAATTTATTGATTTCGCACGGCCTCTGGAGGAGTACTCGTTACACCATTCAATCCTTTGTGGCGCCGTTGCAGCTTAAGCCGGAGTTCAAGCATAATTACTTTTTGTAATTAGTTGCAAGTCCAAAGGGAGCCGAGCCAAGAGCTGGCCGCTCGGGGCATAAAGATTGATAACGAGCTAATGAATGTAAACTTCATACGTGGCTGTCAGCCAGTCCGTCAGTCACTCATTCTGCGGAGGAGCACCGGAGGCAGCTGCCCCCCGTTTATGAGTTGCAAGCCTCTTCAGAGCCGCAACTTAAATTTAATTTCGCGCTAAGCTCGGCTTCCGTTTGGCAAAGAATCAAGCTTGGTGGTCACTGACGTCTTTAGGGTACAGTGAAGACTAGCCAAACCACATGACAAATATTATACAAACTCTAATGTCTTTAGAGATTAGTGAGTGAGTAGTGAGTAACTGGTACATTTAAATAGTCTATTTTATTTTATATCAGAGATTCTATACCCAGAGATTTCATTCCTTGAAAT